CAAATACTCGATGGTTGAGCAACTTATACAACAAAAGATTTGAAAACCAATAGAACGAACTCAAAGGTCGAGCGAAAAATCCGAAAATGAGTATTAATATCAAATGCAAGCCATTAAGCTCTTCCACTCGTTGGACTAATCCAAAATGATTTATCATAAACTCCAAAATATATTAATGAACATCTTGAACCAAATTACCTCAAAATCCAGTGAAGCTAAATCATGCATATGTTTAAATGATTTATAAAATCAATATACCAAAATACATTAACATCAAATAATTTTCATATGATAAAATAAATCATCAAAACCCTAAAACTCTACGATTAATCATCAAATATCCAAAACCACCAAAAATATATATATTTCTAAAGATTTATAAGATCGAATGTTCAAAGAAATAAATCTCATCAGATAACCAACATATTTGATGAATATCAATAAACTTTTTTGGCATGTACAAAGTTTAACTAAAACAACTGAACTCATATTGCTAGATTAAGTTAAACCTAGGTTCCAAACCCAAATCTTTAGCTTCCAAATGTGGGATTCGAGATCCAACACTTATTACCGAAAAGGGTAAACCCCAAATCTCCCAAAGTACCTTAAATTGGTCAAAGTTTATAAATATGAAAAATACATCAAGAGGGATGTTTTAGAAGACTAAAATACAAAATTTTGTCATGTAAATAAGTTTAGAAATGTTAGAATGAACTCACAAATATGTTTTCTTTTCAAAAACCCTAGAAACCTAACTCAAAGATGGTAGGAAGATGATGAAGAAGATGAAGATCTTGAGTTTCAACCCACAAGACTTAATCTGTAGTTCCAAATCTCTTAAATACTCTAAAGTGCTTCAATTTGGAGGAATAAATGATCAAGAATCGAAATGAGAGAAAGAAGAAATGAGTTGGTGGAAAAATAATGGAGGAAAAAAAGAAAAAGATCGGGTTTTCAAGGTTGTTGGCCGCCGTGACCCAGGGTTTCATGGCCAAGTCGCGTGCGCCTAACTCCCCCAATTTTCATACTTTCACTGTTCATGTAGAGACAAACTTTTGTAGAGATATGGTCAGTCTGTAGAGATATCTTCTTTGGATGGATTAGTAGCTTCAAATAGCTACTTACAAATCTTCGGTTCATGAAGATCTTTCTTCAATCGGCTAGTAGCTTGAAAATATCTTCGATCCTCAAATTAGCTACTCTGGAGTCTTGGTGTGTAATTTAGACAGTTGATCCATAGTACCACATCGATGACTTTCTGTCTTCACATCCACTAGTTTTCGATTTTACCAATGGCTTTAAGTATGTACCAAGAAACCAATACACAAAAAAACCAATAACTACTAAATATTGATAAGATAGAAGAATAGATCAGTGGGTCATCACCAAATCAATAGGTGACTCAACAAAAAGGTTTCGTTAATTTAATTAAAGGTGAACAAAAAAAATGAAAAATGTAAGTACATGACATGAATGTTAGATTTCTTATTCAAATATGCAAATGCTAAAAAAAATATAAAAGTACAAGATGGTCAAATGTCAATGTACACCTTAGCCATCGCTACATTTTAATTCCGAAAAGTAAAACCAATGAACATGTACAGAATGTGTGCTTCATTTTTGTCCCTTTGTTCGTCAACAGAAGGCTTCAATGAAATTAAGGATCAGATTAGGGTTTTGATCATTGAGACTAAAAACAAGGATTAAACCATGCCAACAACATTTAAGCAGTACCCAAGATAAAATTTCCAAAAAGAAACTCACAAAATTCAAGGGGAAGAGTGTATGTAAGTATTTTCCGTAGAAATATATTTAAAGAAAAACATTAAAGCAGTAGCAGAGACAAAGTAACACCTGAACCAAGAATTCTAGACAACTCCACCGTCCGTCTAGCTGAAAGACGATAGATTGATCTTTGACACCAATCCATAGAATCCCTTCAATTGGGTAACACAAGGAAAAAGGATTCAAATGAAAAGGTCACAACCTACAAATTACAAATGAAGGAAATCTGTTCTAATGAATATCTTAAAAAAAATACTACTTCAAGGTCTCCCTGCCAATTTCTTGGTAAAAAAAACTCAAAACAATACTATGCACAAAGAATCAAGACAATATTTTCACCTACTGGACTTCATTCAAGAAAGTAATGGTGTTTATGTATCAAAGGACATCAAATTCACAAGAAACAAATAAGCTCTATAAAAGAATAGTACTAGTAGCACTCATTTTGTACAAAACTAAATAGGATTTTCAACAAACCACAAAGGAAGATGATAAGAATAAACCAAATTCAATCTTGATACTACAGTGACAAAAACTAAGCAAACAAAATACGAATACCAAAAGTATTTTCTACATCACTGATCTGATCTCATATGTATACAAGCATATATGGCCATGGGATGGCTTCAAATGTGTTTTTGGTTATAGCTGGCTAGCTAGGGGAATTTGTGTTATAAAAGAGGGGAATTAAGGGAGCTCCATTCAGTCCAAGCACAAAAAAGAAAAGGATTAAATTTGTCTTCTGCATCATTCACATATTCAAATAGGCAGCCAATCTCCATCATCTCTATTGTGTTTGAATGAATGAGTCGACAGCAAATCCATACCCTCTACCCACCTATGAGTGGACTGAAGGAAGCTCCCTTTAATTCTTCCATTATCTCTACTGTAACCAAACATAATATTTATTGACATAAGGTAACAAATTAACCTAAAATCTGGTTCATATTCACATTCTATGTTAAAGGGCACAAACCTAAACTTGGTTCACACACAAGTCTTTTATTCCAAACTAGTTATAAATAAGGAGATACGTGATTAGAGCTATTAAACAGTAATTAATGAAATTGAATATAAAAGAAACTATTTGTTTTTATATAATATAATGAACTTATTCCTCTACAAGTCCAAATTTCATTCTAGGTTAAACAAGAGGAAATCAAAATTCATTCTCATTTTTATTCCCCATCATTTTCATTCTCGTGAATGAACCTATGTTCCACACATTTTCAATTATACTATCTTTTATTTGTAAATAAAATAACTTATTCATATTTAATTCACTAGTTTAAACAAACAAACAAAAAACAAATAACTAAATAATATAAAAAATTAATTATTATATATTTATACAACTAAGTCATTAAAAAATATACAATTGGTATGATATTTTTTCATTTAATGACAAGATTGGCCAAAATTGCCAGACAATTTAACAATAACTCTTAGTTATAATTCATTTTTAAGGCTTGTATTTGACTTGTAGCTCATTATTAGACAACTGACTTCTATCAATAGATGTAATCGATCGATAAAACATTAATTATAGAGGGGTCATTGACAAATTTCTAACCCAAATATTAAAGACCTATTATCAATGAATTACTGATTGATTAATATCAAGAAAAAAGGCAGTCAGTTGTCTGTTGCAAATTAACAATAAATTACCAACAAATTACGATGTCTAAATTAAAAGAATGGAATTTGGTGAAATTGGAATCCATCAAGGGATTTGACTTTAAAGGAATTGAAATGAAATTTAATGGAGTTTGACCACGTGTTTGGTTCAATGTTATTGGAATAAATTCTCTCAAAAGAATTGGAATCACCATCTTCGTTTAGAGGGAGGGTGGCCGGTGGGAAGATCCCTCCCCCCCCCCCCCCCGGAACCAACCTGCCTCTCCCCATGGGGTGGAGAGGGGGTGGGGTGGGTGGTAGTAGTTTTGACGACGAAAGCATTGGCATGGTGGTCAGTGGGGTGGGGTAGGGTGATGCTTGGGTGGTAGGGTGGTAGCTGTGATGCTGACAGTAATAACATGCATGGTGGTCGATGGAGCAGTAGGGTGTAGGGCGGGGTGGTTATGGGTGGGAGTGGCAACTATGAGGAGGATAATAGTGGCAAGATGGTCAGTGGGGGTGGATGGCGATTGTGACATTGATAATAGTGATGTGGTGGTGAGGGTGTGACAGTGATAGTAGTAACATGATCGTGCTTGGAGCAGGGGTGGGTGGTGTTGATTGAATTGGATGGAAAGAGGTGAAATTCCATTTTTTCTCTCTTATAACCAGGAATGGTGAATTCTTTAATTTGTAGAATTTAATGAAATTCAAATAATTCCTACATTTTCATTATCTAAACCAAACACAGGTTTTGGAATTTGATCAAAGAAATTATCCATTCTAATTCTTTCAAAATCCATGAACCAAATGCCTCCAAGGTATATTTTGAATGATTTATAACCCTCTGATTTTCTTTTAATTTTAAAATTAACATTAATTAATAAAGTATTACCTAAATTAAATACTTCTATAAATATTATAGTGAATTTCATTAATGATACTTGTGGTTTGCTTAAGTTTTGGATTTTAGTTCCTAATTTTTCAATTTCATAACATTCAATATCTTTGAAGTTAATATCATCAGGTAGTAATCGTTAGGACAAACAAATCAAACATCAGACAAACTATAGGTACAAAAAATGTTATTCACTTTAAAATTAATTGTGATTAAGATCTTTTTTAAAATTTTTTTGTTAAAAATATTTGAAGTATTGTTGACGTGTGATAGTTATATAATAATTTTTTTTGGTTAGATTTATGTTATAAAAAAAACTAATCATGTTTTAAAAATTAAAATATTACATAAATAAATTAATATAATAATCAAAATATTTATTTTTTTAATTATATTTAAAATATCTTCAATAAAAGATTTTTTATTAAAAAATATATGAATTACAATTAATTTTAAAATAAATTACATTTTGGTTCCTATATTTATTAAAAGCCTAATTTATCCCATCTATTTGAGCAAAGACATGAACCACCGTATAGTAGTAGTTCACTCGACAATATTAAACACCATTAGATAATCATATGACACGTGTCACTTATTCTTCACCACCTGGCACGCCACGTATTCTCACCTTCACTCGCCGTCTCTTTTTACTTGTCATGATAATAAAGACGTTCAAGAATAGTGAACCTTCAACTACACCTCTTGATAGCCGATGGATTTGAAGCCTACAACCGCCGGAGCTGAGAAGGACGGGATCCCACCGGAAAAACCGACACCGGTAGGGCAACAAATGCTGGATAAAGGTGCTCAAATGTTGCAGTCTTTTAAACCCATCAATCACATGAGCCAACATGCGTGTACGTTTGCTTTATACAGCCATGACATGAGTCGTCAAATCAAAGCTCACCACTTTGTTACCCGACTTAACCAGGACTTCCTACAGTCAGCTGTTTATGATTCCGATGACTCCAACGGCCGTCTCATCGGTATGTATGTATACTTTAGTTTTAGAATAATCGAGTTTGTAGAAAGTTATAAGCGTTTTAATCGACCGTTTTATAATTTATATATCCATCCTTAGTATCAAGGGTTTGAATCATTCTCTCGGTTTTGGTTGATGAATTACCATTTTTTCATTACAAAATTTGGTTTATACTATGCCTAACATATTTAGAGCTTCTTAATAAGTTGTTTTATAAGACTTAAGTTGATAGAATCAAACGTCATATCTAAAAGTTTCATATCAAGTTTATAAGACGTTTCGGATGTTTTATAAAACCTGTATGGTTGTTTTTGACGTCTTAACAAGTTTTTCAAAATACTTATGAAGTGAAGTACTCTCATATGAGGACACTTCGGCTCCTTTCTTTTTGTTTTTTGACCCGATCCGATTTTGTTGTAGTGATAATAAATAAGATGTCGAATTTGGATGTTTTTATTCTTGCAGGAGTAGAATATATAGTGTCTGATACCATCTTTGAAACATTGCCACCTGAGGAACAAAAATTGTGGCACTCTCATGCCTATGAGGTTAATTTCTTTAGTTTCAATTTGAATCAGGAACCTTTTTTAATTTATGGGTTCTTAATCGTTGTAGTTTTTGTGTTTCAGATAAAATCTGGGCTTTGGATCCACCCACGGATGCCAGAGACGATCGTCATGCCCGAGTTGAAAAACCTAGCCAAAACTTACGGCAAGTTTTGGTGTACATGGCAAACCGATAGAGGTGTGTTTCAACTTGCTATATCCTTGATAAAAAGGATGTTCTTCATTTCATTACAACAAGAGCAGGTTTATAAGACGCCGCAATATCTAAGTTTCCTAATCGAGTCATCTATATACCTATATATATATGTGCTAAGTTTGCCTTTGATGTGTTCTTCAGTTGGTAAAGAGGTGGGATGGCTTTGTCTAAATGCAAGACAAGTCCCGAGCATTTAGACGAGTCCCGGGTTCGATCTCGGTCCACTACAAAAATGAGGAGTATCAGTGATGGAAAAACCCATCGTAAATCCGTCGGTGAAGTCCTATTTCGTCGCTAATCCTTTGCTGATAGTCCATCGGTCAAAAGCTCGTAGGTAATGCTATCAGTGATGGATCAGCAACGACATTTAGCGAAGGATCAGCGAGGGTGTTACGGATTAGCGACGATATTCTTTTCAGTGACGGATTAGACGATGGGTTCGTGACGAACAAAGCAAGAACAAAGCAAAAGTCAAACGTTCCTAGTGGTTAACGACGGATTTGGTTTTTGGCTTATCCGTCACTAATCAAAAAGGGATTTGCGAGGGAATGACCAAAAATCATTTCCGTTGCAGATCCATCTCTGATTAGTGAGAGATAAGCGACATAGTGAATTTTTGGCGTATCCGTCGCTAATCTGCCGCTAATCAACAACACATTTATTCCATTCCTAATACTTTTTCTAGTAATGGTCCCCGACTAACGTCAACCATTGAGTGAGTCAAAAAATGCTCCCTCAAATTGGAGTCTTTGGAGGTGGGTTCCGTGCGGGCCCTCCGGTTAGGATTGCTAGTAATCATCTTTTTGTTCAAATATAGGACTCGAGTTCAATTAAGTTTATAAAATGTTTTTAGAGTTTTAACAAGTTTTTGGGGATATTTTACAATAAATGTCATATTCGTTTTTCTACAAGATATTTTTGAGAAATATTCTATTAACACAAGTTTTTATCGGACATTTTGTTTTTACATAACGCTTTCCCAAACAATGTCATGTAACAAGTTAAAAGGGCATTTTATTTTAAACTTGTCTTGGAAAACTATTAACACGTCAAAAACGTCCTATAAACTTATTGTAACATTTTTATATATGACACACAATTATTTGGTATTATAAATTTAAGTTATATAAAAGTAATCTATTAAGACATTTAGACATATCTATTGTAGTATAAACCTGGTTTTCTTGTAGAGTTTGTTCTCAAAGCATTTTCTTTGAACTATTTGTATTGCTTTAATTTTGAAGGTGACAAGCTTCCATTGGGACCTCCATCATTAATGATGTCCCCACAGGCCGCGGAAGATGGTGTGGTGAATTTGCAGATAGCGAGGGAGAGAGACGAAAGCTACAACCTATCAAGGGAAGATCTAATGCGGTCGAGGATCGAGATTCCAGAACCAGAATGGATAAACCCTACGGCCGATTACTGGAGACAACACAAGAAAGGTTTCAAAATCGACGTAGAAAGTACTGAGATGAGGACTTCTTTCTCGTGAATTGACGATGTTCGAATACTTGCACTGATGGTATAGGATTACAAGAAGATATTTCATTGTAATAGAAGAAATAAAAGACCAAACTGTGTCGACCAAACCTGTCGCTTCTATTTGATAAATTACGATCGTTTTTGTAGCATGAAATGATGAAAGTTCTACTTGGTTACACACAGAGGGTTTTAAGAATCGTGTGATATTAAGGTTCTAAATGATGTAATGCATGGCGTGATGGTGAGGTCAGAATTGCAATAGCTAAATGATGGTGTGCAGTATCAATTAGCCATAGACCTTCTGTTATCGGGTCTAATCCTCATGAAAAGTAAGAAAGTCCGCATATTTTGACCAATTCAAGGTAAAAAATGGGGTTGGTCCTTCGGCAAAACTAGGAACAGGTGTTAGAAAGTGCATTCGATTGATTGAATATCGATGAATCTCGAAAAGAGAATAATTCAAACTAATTCTTCAAATTAACGAGTTTTTCTCTCTCGAATATCCAAAGAGAGAGTTGTCTCGCGCTCCTAGGTATTCCCTACCTACCCACCTGTGTCGTTTTTCGGGTATAGGTACTCTTTTGTTGAAGGTCGTTCGAGCTTTTCAAGCCTTACGAGTTACGATGAGACTATGTTGTTTTTCAAAGTGTGCCTTAAGGCGTCTATATATAGTGTTTTGAATAATAACATAGAACAAATTGAATTTGTGTAAAACAATAAAATTAAAAAAGAAAGAAGACTAATTGATACCAAATAAATGAAGCTTATAAAAAACGATGCCGGGATGCAAAATCGGGATTAAATTAATCTTTTGAATCTCAAATCACTACTCTTCAAAATTCAAAGAATTTGTGTTCGACTCTGCATGTATGAGAATGAGAGTAAGTATGTACCTATTTAGGCTTTTAGTTGTTAAGTTTCATTTTTATGTTCATTTAAGGCTTAGGTCTCGTACTTAATTATTATTTATCCTTCAAGTTATATATTAAATAACCGCACATTTTACAAAATAATGCGCCATAACACGTCGTAATGTGCCATAACGTGTTACAATAGCGCCAAACGTTAGAGTAAAGACATAGGGGTTAACATGGCGGCGAACCCAAACCTTGACCATAATGTATCATAACACGCCATAACGAGGTCATTGCTAGTTATTTAGAGTAAGTGTGACACGCCATCACCTGATGTGTGGTGCTTGTAAAGCATTACTTGATTTTCTTTTACCTTTTTAGTGACTTAATTATTAGTTTTTTTTTAGTATATACAACCTAACTTAAATTGTTAAACCTCAGTGATTTGTTGAGTTTTGGACCTTTTGGTAGAACACATACGTGTATATATATATATATATATATATATATATATATATATGATGTATAAATTTGCTGTTGAATCACGTCTTACAAACACCGCCTCATCACCATGTCATGCCATGCCTCAAACTCAGATAGAACCTTAAAAGCTAGCGTCCATGATCTTATTTTACAGCCGATTTCGAATTATGGTTAACCTCTTCACATAACATAAAAATGCTCTGTAGTCTGCATCACTGATGATTCTATATATGATGATATATATTTTTTAGTCTTTACATAATATAAGAAGATATGAATAGATTTTGTATGATGATCAATAATTTTTAGAGTGGAATGTATTCTTGGTCTACGGTTTGTGGATTTTTATGGTTTTCGTCGTACAATTTATTTGTTTTGAATTTGCCATTTTGTTCAATTTACTCTATCTTTCTAATTGTTAACTTTAATCTCTTAAGTTAGACACAGTTTGTTCTTTTTCATATTCTCTCAATTTCATTACTAAAATATTATATATATATATATATATATATATATATATATATATAATTATAATTATAATGTATATAGAGAAGTGATCAAATGCAAACCATCCAATTTGTACAAATCGTGCAAACCACCCTTATCCGTTGATTAATTTCATTGTTTTTTCTTATGAAAGTTTTTCATTAAATTGTTTGATCTTGTGAAATTGTTTATATAATACTTTTTTTGATGAAGTTGTTTCATATATGGTTATGAAATTGTTTCATATAATACTTAGTGAAATTTTAATAAAACTGTTTCATGTATTTCTCTAATATTAAAATAATGAAGATGATAATATCTATGATTAATTAACACCCTCCACAATAAAAATGATTAATCAACCTCTCATAATTACAAAAAAATAAACAAAATGAAAAATATGATTGGTTGAATGAGTTTTATATGGTTTGTACAAATAACGTGGTTTGCAAAGTAAACCTCTTATATATATATATATATATATATATATATATATAGAGAGAGAGAGAGAGAGAGAGAGAGAGAGAGAGAGAGAGAGAGAGAGAGAGGTAAAAGTCCTAGAAAAACCAACTACACGTTAGATATTCCTTACTAATTAATAATCCCTTCAATTTCAAGTAATTATTGTATATACAATTTTTTAGAACTCTACAAACTACATATGTGAATCGGTTAATTAGTTCATATGTGAATTAGTTAATTAGTTTTGTTTTTACAGAAAAATAGATATCTCCAGAAGAGATTATTAGTTAAATTTTTTCATATGCGAATAACATGAGTTCATATGTGAATCAATTGAATAGTTCATATGCGAATTATACGAGTTCATATATGAACATATAGTTCATATGTGAATCACACGGGTTCACATATGCCCTTGTTTTGCCGTCTTTGTAAAAGTTATGAAACTAACCCTCTATCTTGCACATACCATGCGAGGAATTATATGGTGTTTCATAATTAAAGCCGTAAATCTTGACCAGATGAAGGGCTATGATCAATTCTCTACTTCTCAAATACTTACCACTTCTCAAATAAACCTATGGTGTATATATATATATATATATACACGTTAGACCCTCGGAGAAACAAACCTCCTTCTCCACAATCTTCTCACTTCTCTATGTCCGACAAACCCTCCTACTATAACATCCCTAAAATAGGAGTAAATTTAAACCGGAAAATGAATAAGGGAATGGAACTTAGATAAATATAATCACCCAATGGATGGGGAAATGTAAGTGCTTACAATAATAAATTAGAATGCTAGCCAACAACCTAATATTTTAAACCAAAGTAGGTAAAGATTTACATTGGGTGTCGCTAATATCACCAAAAGATCTCTAATCAATATGTAAGACTATGAATCTCCAAAAGTGTCATCCTAAAGATGCTCCTAACGGAAACATTGCTCTACTCATACCTTGGGAGCCCCACTGCTATACGATCTTGATATATGTCATTTAAGAAAAAGTGCTAGGCTTAATGCCTAGTGAGAACAAACATTTATAAACAATATAAATAACTCAAAACAGTTAAGGTTTAGAAGATTGATTTAAAACTGAGGTTCATACATTCCAATTAGGACCACAATGTCTAAAATAAATCTTACGATGATGGGGAGACATGATTTTCCATAGTAGTGGTGGAACACAAAAGTAGACCACAATTCCATGTTATAGAGCTCATACTAAAGATCAATGGCCAATGAATTCAACCAACCTGTGATTTATAGATCAAGACCCCTGATGATCCTAGTTACACTTATTCCCTAGAAATTCATTGGACGACCAATGGAGAGTATCCAGCTACAATAGTCCATACCAAGTTACCTCCGATGACCTAATGCTTATTTCTAGTTACAAATGAGAAGACTATCCCACTTTAAATAAAACTGACTCCTATGCCTATGGATCTATTTCATTATATTCTAGCACGTGCCACAACTTTAAACTGATCAACTATAATCATACATATAGTTTTCATCATCCAAATGTTCTCACAAGATCATTTTGTCTCAAGATTTGCCAAATAAGACAAGGTTCTTATGATTCCCAGAGCCATAACATTTCCATCAATTTTTATCAAGAATTTGTAGATACAATAATCAATTTGTTTTCAGTAGTAAGGTCTCATTTCCCCACCATATAACCATTTCCCAAAACTATTTCCAAACATGTAGTTGCCAAGACTAAAATATATCATATTGTTCAAGTTTCCAATACTAAACAAGGGTGGTGTCTGATTGGTTTGAGCTTGGCTCCAAAGGTCAAAAGTACCAAGAGATCCCAACTTCAAATCCAAGGAGGAATAAAAATCCCCTTGTGGCCATGAAGGTTCAAATGCGGTGACTTCGGGCTATCTGCAAAGCATGTGGTCGCCCTGGGATTAGTCGGCTCGCATAGCGGGTTGAATATCCAGGTTAATAAAAAAAATCCACATATTTAAAATACATTTTCTCGGAGCTCCATCATGTTTCTAGTAAAAAAAGGGGTACATACCCTTAATCTCTCAAAAAACTCAAAATACGACAAATGCACCAACATGTAAGATTCATCAAAAGAAATATTTTAGGAGACTAAAATAAAGCATTTTGACATATATAAAGTTTAAAAAGGTTAGAATGAACTCACACTACTAAGTATTCAAGAAAACCTAAAAACCAAGTATATTTTATAAAGAAAAGGTCTAGACTTTGAATCCCCAACCTAGATCCTTGAATCTTTGAGTTAGAACCCTTCTAAAATGTCCCTTCAATGCACTCCAAAATCAGTCTTACGGTTTCATCAGTGAAAGCAAATGAAGAGGGAGAAGGCTAGAGAGTATTGAATGAGAAGAATCCTTAAAACTGAGTCTTTTAATGATCAGTATGATTCTCGCGACCATGCCTGCGGCTTAAGTCGCAGCGCTGGTAGCCTGTGTCAAAAATCTGAACTCGACCATGTCCTGCGCGGCTTCTCCCGTGGTCTAGGCCGTGCGCCTAGCCGCATATCTTTTTGTTTCCTCGACTCAACTTCACAGTGTACCACATGATTTTATCTATGACTTAGGGTGTGGTCCAGGTTGCGGCAGCCACTGTTTTATAGAATTTGAACCTTTTTCTTGTCTTTCCTTGCACAAATCCTTATAAACATAATGAACCGCATAAACCTCCATTAGAGAGATGATTTTAAGGCCAAAACTAAGCATTTTAAGCACATAAAAATTCGAGTGTTACACCTAGGCTTATTGCTCGTCGGTTTAGTCAGCCTAAGATTTCAACACAAAAATAGTACTCGGCGCAAATATACTCCTTGAACTATTGTTGTCTCGTAACAAGTAATAATGATATAAGTACCAGATATCGTTCCCAC